CTTGCCTTCCCTATCCTTCCCTTCCTTACTCCTCGCCCCTCCCCATCCTCATTCCTCACCTCCCCCCAACCCTCACTCCCCACACCCTCCCAACCCACTCCTCACCCCTCCCCCCTCACCCTCACCCCCTCCCCAACCCCTCACTTCCTCGTCACCCTCCCCAACCTCACTCCTCACCCCCCCCCATCCTCACTCCTCACCCCCTCCCCTCCTCACTTCCCACACCTCCCCCTCACTCCTCACCCCTCCCCATCCTCCCCCAATCCTCACCTTTCCATCCTCACGCTCCGGAGGAAGGCCGGTAATTCCTCATGCTGACTAAAGAAGAAAAAAAAATAGGTGTCGAGTTTCTTTTTCATTCTCTCCCGGCGAAGAAACGGCCGCATCCAGAGAAGGAATGCGTTTATTTATGTAATTTTATTAGTATTAATATTTATTATATTATATATTATTTATTATATTTATTTATTATATATTGTTAATTTATTTATTATATTTATTATTATATTATTGTAATTTTATACTCGCTTTATTGTTATATTTGTCTTTGTTTGTTTACAAAAGATTTATTACGATTTTTTTTTTTTTTTTTTTTTTTTTTTTTTTTTTTTTTTTTTTTTTTTTTTAGTTACTGGATATTTATTTAGGAAGAATCACTTGGTAAATATTTGTTAGAAATTGTTAATTTTCGTTTATTATGTAGATATTCCTGTAGGGATCTTAATTATTGTTTTATTAAATTTGATAATATATCTTTAATGGTTTTGATAATAATATATTTAAAGATTTTGATAATAAGTTGATTTGTTGAAAAAGAAAAAAAAATCGCACGGAGGAGGTAAAGATTCCTTAGATTTTTTAGACCTCTGAGTTCGATGAGTCAGTTGGCTGCTCGTTCGCTTGTTTATCCTTTGTTATTTCCTTTTGCCCATTTTCTTCTTCTCTTCTCTCTTTCGTTATCCTCTCCCGATTTGTTTCTCTTGTTTTTTTTCTTCTTTAGTTTGTCATTTTCTTTTTTTCTTTTTTTTCTTTTCTCTCTCTCTGTTATATCTTCAGATTTTTTTTTCTCTTTTTCTTTTTTTGTTTTGTGTTGTGGTGTTGTGTGTGTGTTGTGTGTGTGTGTGTGTGTGTGTGTGTGTGCGTGCGTGTGTGTGTATGGTGTGTGAGTGTTTTCATTTATGTCGAATATTAATCTATTTTGACACACATATACACATATATTTCATTGCAAGATGCAGATCGACCAATTGCTATTTAGCCAAGTCACCGTGTCCACTTCATATCTCCCCCCTCCTCCCTCCTCCTCCTCCCCTCCTCCTCCTCCTCCTCTCCTCTCCCTCCTCCTCTCCTCCTCCCTCTCCGCGCTCTTTCTCTCAAGAAGGTGTCAATTGCATCGTAAGGAGGCATATCACATGGCAATATAGGCCTTACGGACACCGCCTACGACCACTCGAACGACTCGTAGACGACCACTGTGGCCATAAGTTGGATTGTTAAACGCGGGAGATGCCAGGGCTGGGCGTGGTATGCCGGGGGGGTATGCCGGACGGGGAAGGGGGGGCATGAGGGGGGGTCTGTATTTTGTGGTTATGATTGTGTTTTTTATGAATACTTGTTTGTTTGTTTGTTTGTTTTCTTGTTAATTGGTTTTTGTTTTTTTGTGGGTCTTTTGTTGATTATTTTTGTATTTATTTATTACGTGTTTATTTTGTTTTACTTTATTTGGCGTATTAGATGGTGGTAGGAAAAGGATTTTTCGTAGCAGTTTCAATAAGATTTCGTGGATGTGTAGTATAAATATAAATACAGATACAAAACGACAGAAGCAGAATAAAAATAACGAATAAAAACGAATAAACTCACGAAAAAAAAGACCAAGTGATAAGAACCCAAAACGCACTTACACCATAAAGAGAAGATGACGCTGCAGCTGAAACCAAGGACTCCCCGCATGCAACGGCGCATTGCAAAGTCGGTTGGGCCAAAAGGGCGTCTTCGATGCGGTCATCTTCGCAGGCGGGAAAGTGACTCACGAAATGAAACGGGCAAAGCAGTGGTCGGGCAGCGTCTCATGACACCGAGGGGCAGAATCTCTTAGCCCGACACTGCAGCGTCTCATGACACCGAGGGGCAGAATCTCTTAGCCCGACACTGCAGCGTCTCATGACACCGAAGGGTAGTGTAAAGTAGTGTAGAATGGGGAATGGGAGAGCGGTTGGTCATTGAAGGCGGATGAGAAGACGGAGGAGGGGAACTAGGATTGGGAAAGATGAGAGGTTGATTCATAGATGGATGGATGGATAAAGATTGATAGGGGAACAGAGGGAGAGAGAGAGAGGGAAGGGAGAGAATGAGAGAGGGAGAATGGAGAGAGGAGAATGAGAGAGGGAGAATGAGAGAGGAGAATGAGAGAGGAGAATGAGAGAGAGAGAGAGAGAGAATGAGAGAGAAGAGAGAGAGAAGGAGAGAGAGAGAGAGAGAGAGAGAGAGAGAGAGAGAG